GAGATTCCATTCATCCTGGACACAGAAAAGCCCTGGATCTTAATTTATGCCTATAGTTAAGTTTCTGATCTTGAGCTTCTTTTCACTTTAAATTATCCAATGTGACCTAAGTAACAATCTCAACTCAATGGTCTTGGCCTTCTTTATCTATTTCTAATTGCTTTACTGTCAATAGCTACCTGAGTTTCCACATATTGCTTTTAAGAGGTACATGATTCCAAATGACAAGGGTAGGGATACTTTTACTAGCTATCTTCCCACTGAAAACTATACCCCTCCCCAACTCAAGACAGAGCAACAGTTATTGTTGCCTTTTAACTCAGTATCAGTGCAATAATCAACTTCAGATTCCCCATATTACGGAAGGTCTGAAACCTACCATTTAATTCTCTGGCCAAAACTTCTGTAATTAGCTATCTGATTAAAGCTATATAAACCCATTTTGGCTGACAAGTAAAAGGGAAATTATAAGGAGAATATATGATAAGTCTACACAAAGGACAATTTGGACAACCATGCCTTGAGAACAGGGACCAGAGTACTTTGGGGGATCTTCTTGCATCAGCTCTTGTACTTTTTTTTGGTTTTTTTTTTTTATTTTTATTTTTAGATACTACTCAGAATGACTCAATTCTTAGCACTTTTTGTTTGTGCTACCTCTCTTGATTTAAAATTCTGGTATGAGGGGAATTTTAACAGGACAAGCTAGGATTGCTCAAACTCTGCTGGGGGATATGTGGCTGGAATAATGTAATCTACAGTCCTCCTAAAACTGTATAAAATAGAAAGGAGTAGCTTTCCAAAGAAAAAGCAGGGTGAGATCACCAAAGGAAAGGGGGAGTAATTTAGGGTAGGCCAAAGCAACGAATGTCCACTATAATAATATTTTAATGTTGGGAAAAGAAACTACAACAGAACAGTAGTTAGGAAGTTAGGCAAGTGTCACAGCACTGAAGAGTGTTTCAAGATGCTGGTAGAAATTGTGCCACCAAAAGGTCAGAAAAAACATGCTTGTGTAAAAGATTTAGAAATAAAAAGGTTATTATTGACCTTGATTACATGATAAAATCACTCAAGAATTTAAAAAGTGACTTTTTCACACTTTTCTATCCATAATGTGGAGACTGCAATATATGTTTTAATAGACTAACATCAGTTGAGAACTGGAAAACCTTTGATGAACAATAAAATTCTGATAATCTAAATACACTTAGACATTCAAGAGATACTTTAAAACATTAAGAAAGGATGACTGAGCTAGGAGTTTCTCAAGTTGTAGCAAATGCAGTTTGAGTAATGGATGAAAAACATATACTGTGATATTCACTAACATAAAGGTGGGTATTTTTAATCACTTGACAAAACAGGCTCAGTGTTAGGTGACTTGCCAAGGTCACACAGTAAGCACTAAGTTTAATTTAAAATTTTATTTTTTAAATACAGTTTAAAATATGGATAGTATAAATACTCAGATACAGAAATGTATGAAGTTGAAAGTCTCATGTAATCTACGTTGTTCAAAGAAAGCCATTAACACTTTTCTATGCATTTATAAACACACGCGCACACACACACACACACACACACGTTTTTATGTGAGTTCATACAACATATTTTTCTATTAATAGCTTGTTTCTCTTAATTTATCATGGTCATTCCACGTCCATACACAATATACTTTATTCATTTTAATAGATCTGCAGATTTTCTTATATGGCTAACCCATAGCGTATTCCAATCCTTTACTGATGGACACTTAGGTTTTCTTCTTTTCCTACCATGTAATTTTTATGCTTCTGCAGTAACTTAAATACTTAGTTCCTGTTTCATTCTTTCATTCACTTTGGAGAATAATTTCAGTGACCATGACCTCTAGTTTAATAAATGCTTGGAACTGTCAAATTTGGTGGCAAATACTGTATTAGGACTCAATTTCAAGCAACAGAAACCCAACTCAAAGTAACATAAGAAAGAAAAAAAAAGAGGCTATTTATTGGTTCACATAACTGAAGAGTCTGGGAGATTTACTAGCTTCAGGCACAGTTGGATCCAGGAGCACAAATGTCATCAGGACTCAAGTCTTTCCATCTTTTGGCTTTGCTTTCCTCTGTACTGGCTTTGTTCTGACTGGGTCATTCAAGGTGGTAGGCCCTATTGATTATTTTAATCTTACAAAGTTAAAGCAGCTCAGTAGAGAGCTTCTTCTCCACAGTTCAGTAAAACTCTTAGGATTGAGTATCACTGGACAAATTACATGACCACTCCTGAAACACTATGGTCAAGGAGATGGACTTTGCTGAACTTCGCTGGAGGATGAGGTCTGAATTACATGTCCTCCCATAAAACCCAAGGCTAGCAGACTGTCCAAACCACATGGTATGAAAATAGGAAGAGGTGGTTCCAAGAAACATCAGGGAGTCATTACATGAGATGCAATGGATGCTGGACAATATAAAACAATTGATGCTCAGGATAAGATGAGATATTGAAAAAGCTTAATTTCTACTAATGACGTTAAATACTAACAGCTGGTATTGTTCCTTCCTTGGTAATAAAAGTATTGCAGAAAAACACTATGAAAGGTAAGTCTGCCCTTTCCTTAGGAAGCCTGTAGTCCATTTTAATAGAATAATAATGTCCAATAGCACAGTCTGGATGATTCCATAGGTTCAATACAAGTAAACTCAGTGGTCACAAATCTGAAGCCCAAATGTCTTGCTAATATGAATCAGGACAGCTAGCCTCCCATTGGCAAATAGTTGTCAGGCTACTTGGGTCAGTGGTAAATTTCAAGTTCAGTAGAAAACGTTTCTTAGATTCTTTTAAGTCTTTTGCCAAGTTGAATTTGGACATTTCTGTGAGTACTGGTGAATCTGACCCATGTTTGTATTACTACAAATAAGAGAAATGAACACTGCTTTTGATATAGTATACTCCTCCCAGAAGAGGTGGAGCTGAACATGCACACTGTCATAGGTGCTTACTCGGTATTTCAAAGAAAAAAAAGTTGCTGGTCAAGGTGTGCACAGCATGGTCCTTCCTGTTGTGAACATTAAGTCTTAGTAGGGTGAGGTGCATGTTGCTTCAATTAAAACATCCTTGGAATTGGGCATAATAAAGGCTAAAATTCGTTGTAGATTTCGCAAGGTAAGTCTGACTGTGGCAACTTTCTACTCTATCCCTTTGTCTCATTCTTTCCAATTCCCCGGTCCTGGCAAGATGGAGGGCTTTCTCTTTCTCGTCCTCTTTCTCTTCCTCACCAGCAGCCCTCTGATCATGATTCAGCCCTCTGATCATGATTCAGCCCCAAGCCCTGGGGCGGATGCCAACAGCATACTGTAAACACAGTTTTCTTATCTTACAGGGTCAGTCAGGTATAGCAGCTTTCATGTTCCTGCTCATCTGCCCAAGAGCTTTTACCTCAGAAGACCATATCCTCAATCCAGACTCAAGGTTGTGTTTAGGAGTCTATTCTATACACCAGGGTCGGCAGAGCCAGGTTTTGTCAAAGTTGGCCCTACTTTCTTTGGTAATGCAGTTTTCATCTTCTGTAACTCAGCCCATCTCTAGGAATCACCTTATAATCAAGGCCTCAGATTGGTTGAATGGTGCTACTGAAATGCTTAGGCAGAATCTGAGACATGGAAAGAGCAGGAAAGCTCCCAAGTTGAAGTTTTAGAGTTTTTGCTTTTTGAATCAACTATTCTTATTCACAGTGTACACCACATTCTTGAACAGATGATCATCTTAAGCTCCTTATGGTAACCGAGTTATGGCAGGATTAGAAGGAACGATTGGCAGTATAGATCGATGTCTTTTTTTCTTGAAAGAACAGGACAAAGGAGAGAAGGAAAGGACTAACAATTTGAAGGTAGCAGAAAACTGAGTTTGTAGATAACTTAAAAAAAAAAGTAATGGCTATATATACAAGTAGGTTGTTGTCCATTTTTTATTTGCTGAGGGTGAGCAGGCTACAGCAACCAGAACTAGGCTTTGCTGAATAATTTGTAGCATGAATCTTACAATCATGATTATCCTCTGCAATTCAGAGGGTAAGAAACAAGAATATAAAGAAATCATTCCCAACATTTAACAGTGCATTCATTAGAGTAGCTGAGAATAGCTGGTCATTAAAGTTTGTGAAGGAAATGATATTTTTTCTCATGACACAAATTGAAGTCTTGTTCAACATGATCTGGTCTGGGAGTTCATGAATTGAGTCCTTTCTACAGAAAGATAAGTTGTCTTAATGCCTGAGAGTACCCCATGGCAAGGAATGAAGTCAGCCACTCTGAATCAGTGTAAAACAACAGTATGAGACAGATGTAATTCCATTAAAATATCCAAGACGTTGGGAGCTCTTTAGTTTACTGATAAAATCCTTAGCAGCAGTCTTTGTAAAAAAATTTTCAAGACTATCTACATTTCCAGTGAAAAGGTAGACAACATGCTATTTGAAATGACCAAAAAGTAAGCTATCATGGCCTGGCCAAAGGGCCTGCCTCCAACTATTCATACCACCTACAGTTGATGGTATTGGACATCAAAAGACTTGTGTTAAAAAGAACATTTCACTGGCTACAACAAAACTTTCCAAATGACTACATTTAGAATCATACACATGAGAAGGGATGTTCAAAGATTGTCTCTTGAGGATCAGCCATTATGTGCAGTTAAAGCTGAGTAGTCATACTTATTTTGGGAACTAGGCAGATATGGCAGTGATGGAGAAACTGTTTTGTCTTTTTTGAAAAAAGGTTATTTGCTCAATTTTCCTGAAAGCAGTAAACTGAATTAAAAACTGCCACTAGCTGAGTCATACACTGACTTGTAGTTTGAAAAAGAAAAAAAAAAAAAAAAGATGAATGGTAACTAGGAAGTAAGACCTCCAGGAAATGTTGCTAATATGTTGCTAGTATCTGAATTCTGCTTCCATAGTTGTTATCCCTTGCACACGAAGTACAGTACCACAGTTCATGATGAGAGGTCAAATGTACAAGTTGTTCCAATATAGCCTCAATGAGGCATCAGCTTCAATATCAGTTTGCTGGCGACTCAGATATCCAAGAAGTGTTGAGACTTCAAAGTCATGTACTTCATGTATCACTAGAACATCTGGGGTTTGTGCAAGAGGTGGGTTAAGGATGTCTGTCAATAAGGAGTGCATATGACTTGCTTTCTGGCTTATCCAATTCCAGGAATCACTGGGGTGAAGGAATTAATCTAGGTGCATTCAATTCCACTTTCAGCCCATATAACTATTCTGGGGGGCAAAAATATGATCATCTTTTACTTTGTAAAGTTTGCATACAGTATTTCTAAGAAATGTTCATTATCAACTGAACATGTTAGTATCAACTGAACATGGACTGTGTTGAGTGAAGAAAAGATCAGAACGCCATTTAAGTCACATTGTTGTCTAGGGTAGTGGTTTTCAAACTGTGTTCTGAAGAATTCTAGGTGTTGTAAGGAAGTCCCCATAGGTGTCAACATGGTAGTAAAGGAAGATGCTTGTGGCAGGCTTCAGGCCCCTACATTTGCTTCACTGCTTCATCCAGAGCAGCTTCACTTTTACTCTGAGCTTCTGCATAGTTTTCATTCAAAGGGCTTCATGGTCACAAAGCCTTTGGAAAATCAATGATCTAAGAATAAGTTGTTCACAAAATGCTGAAATACAAAAAATAGGTCACAGAAACCAGAAACTGTGAGCAAAGCTTGTGGTAAGCCAAGGTGTTTTCCTATCCATTCCTTCCCTAACATGAGCCATATTACAGAATGATGGCATCAAAGCTCAAATGTGCTATAAATTGATTGCCTAAAGCTGCACTTAAAACTATCAGAAACAAAACTATTGGTTTAAGTTCTAACAGAACTGGAAATTTTACATACAGCTACAAAAATGCATCCATTTCTCTGTAATTACTTTAAGAAATTCATGTTGGATGACTTCTCTTTAAGCACTGGCAAAATCTCAGTGGGCGACAACTTAAAATTCTATGTAACTCCTCCCCCTTTTTTAGTCTCCTCCTCCCTTCCCAATCTCCTTATCTACCTGATTTGCAATGCCCTTGAACTAAGTTAACACTTCTAGGAACAGAAAAGTATATTGCTAAACGTAATGGGATGCACCCAGTTTGGGGGTAGAATTTCCCCCATACCCCTCCCATGTATCCCCACAAATCTTGTAGAGGTTCCCTTGACAGAAAATAAAGGTAATAGTCACGATACAGGGCACTGAAACAATAGGGACATACTAATTCAAGTAGTTAATGTCAAGGCATTAGAAAGGGAGATTTCAAAGATCTTCTATTAAGGTATCTCCAGGGCAATATGTCAGTAAGCAAGAAGCACTGGGTATACTGCTCTATAGCAGTTTTCCCATGCCATTAAAAGGAATGCTGCAAAATATGACATCCTGTATTTGGTTAAACTTAGGACACACTAGGCTAAATGGCTAAATGGGGTTCTAGGTGGCAAGTCTTCTGAGATCCTTTAATGTGCGATACTACTTTGTAAATTGAGGGAAAATAGTTTACAGTACTTTCCCCACCTTATTGGAAAATAGCTCTATGTGACATATACATACATAAATATCATTAGTTACACATAAATAGCATTGCTCTGAAAAAAAAAAAAGGATGGCTCATTCTGTGTAAACATTAGTGTAGAATAGAGAAACATGGGTAAGTTCTAATATGTCTAGGAATATCAGTAAGACTCAAGAGAGAGAGAGAGAAAAAGACATGATGTAGGTAGGGGATCCTTAAATTAATTAGGCCACCTGAGAAGACCATAAAAACAGACAAAAGGTCTAAAAGTAGCTTTGTTTCATGTTGGGTAACCTTGTGGTCAAATGAACATGCTTTTTTGAGTGGACAATTTTTAGGGATGTTGCCATGGGATTCTGGTAAAGACGTAGCTATCATATGATTATACATATGCTATCCTGCCTGACTGGGAGCACCAGATCAAAACGCTGGGAACTTTTCTGGGGTTTTCGGGTCTCTACTCTTTTAATGCTACAGGTAAAGTGGAGCATAAGTTCATTCCAAGGAGTACTGGACTAGGAGTCAGAAGGCCTGGCCTCTACCACTTGGTAGCTGTGACATCTTGGATAACTGCTTAACTTTCTAAATATCTATTCCCTCATTTACAAAAAGGAATAATTTACTTAGTTATTTTGACAACTGAGATAAATGTATATAAAAGTGCTTTGGAACTGTAAAGTGCTATATAAATAGAGGGGATTATCATATAGGTTCTACCTTGATGGTATCAAGAAGCCTTTTCTGGGATCTGACTGGAGCCTTGTGAGATGCTCTTAAGTAACAGAATTCCTTGGCAGAATTTCTTACATTTGTGTGACAAGTTCTGGTTCCTGAGTAATCCCAAAGAAGATGCTATGAGGAATTCACTGTGCCTTTGTTTTGATCCCAATAGGTCAGAATAGCTGCTTTCTCACTCAGGATACTAGAGATGTGAATAGAAAAAGAACAGGGTCCAGTGACTTTGACAGGATCCTAGAGAGCTCATGAAACTCAATCATTTGAAACTGTGGGGCCAATACTGTTCTCAAAGACGAGTTGTCTTTCTTCAGACGATGCTGATAAAAATTTCCCAGTCCGAATTTCTGTCTCTGAAAGCTTTGACTGAAGAATGAAATGAACACTCATGGAACAAACTGGGCCTTTGTTGTGATAAAACAGTTTCAGTTATTTGGCTTGAGGACTCTGACTTCATTATAAAAGACTGTGCTGAATCTGGGTAGAAAGAACAGGAGTGGAGGTAAAGGCCACATCATGATGGCTGAATGCTTCTTAGGTCACAGTGGTCCACTGGAATGGTGTCTTCTTCAGTAGTAAGGTGGTAGAAATCACCAAGGGTAAAAATCCAGGTACCAGAATCTGTAGGCTGACAGAATAGCACAAGGGAAGGTGGTCAGAAAATCCAGGTGAACACTCAATCATCAGGAAGAGCACAAGATTAGAAAGGGTAGGGATGAAACATGTTAAAACAACAAAAGCATGGTATTACAAACAGAAGACTCAAACATTAGAGTGGATTTGCTGTGAGGAATCAGCTGCCTGATGGACACTAATTCTTAGCAAGCCTGGCTTAGAGGTTGACAAAGGAGAAAAACAAAAACACTCATTCCCAAACCCCCACAAAAGCCTGATTAACCATCCCTAATAAAAAAAAGCAGAAATAGTTCACTGTTGCCTGACTCCTGAGAACAAACTATCTCAAAGAAGCAATGAACAGGTATTGCCCTAATCATACTTTAGGATTATGGAATAATTATACCAAGACTTCAGAAAGTTTATGGAAAAATTTAAGTATGAGCTTATTTTGGTGTAAAAAATTTGAAATCTATAGTTCCTTTATAATATGCATTTTCCACCAACTTTTTGAAAAACTCTCATTTTTTAGGCTCTTGGGCATTAGTCGATGGGAAGAAGTAGCACAAAAAGAACTGAGATTTTATATGCCAACAACAAAGCAAAAGAGATATTGTCCCTCTCTCTTTCCCAATGCCTTTCTCAAAACGTCCTGTAATCTCTTAACTTTTTTTTTTTTTTTTAAAGAAAAGGCTTAAAACTTTTATTCATGCAGGGGAATAGTAGGGAAGCCAGAAAAGAGAGAAGGAGAGAGAGGTAGACAGAGGGAGGAAAGAGGGACACCCTCAATAAGGTTTTATCATACCACTAACTCCTGTCCTTAGTTCTCCAGCTTGTCAGGATCCTGGGCATGGATGCACATGCACCTGGCCTATTTCAGGCTGACCAGGTGAGAAATCGCACTCTGTAGTCTGCCTTACCACCTGCACGACTGTGGTTCAGGACATTACTGATTGTGCCAAGGAAGTTGGGCCAAACTTTCCTTTTCAAGATTCTTTGTTCAGTAGGAGAGAAATCGGATTTGGTCCTTGCACCCTTCTTTGTTGTACCCTGTTCATTCAATATGACATGTCTTTTCATTTGAGGGCTCCCTAGATCTTCTAAAATTTAGATGAAAAAAATAATATGAAATAAAAGGAAGAACATGGCCTATATCTAGTGATTTTTCTTCTAGTCAGAGTAATTTTATCATACAGCAATTAAGCAAACACCGAGTGCTTATTCCGAGACAGACTCCTTTCTAAAATCTTATCTAATAAAGGTTTCATCATAGGTGGTGGTATGTACAAAGATGCATAAAATAAGGCCTTTCCTTCCTTTCTTTCTTTTTTTGGAGAGGTTTTTGCTATAGGGCGTGTGCACTCGCCCGAAAGACAGAGAGAGATAGAGAAAGTGAGAAATCACCTCCCCCCCCCCCCCCCCCCCGGGGGC